GGGCCTCCCTGCCCTTCTCGCTTCCTAGCCCTGTAGCAGGATGGGACAGCCAGGCCCCACCATGGACCATGGGAAGAAGCCGGTGGAATTTGGCTGCCCTGAGATGAGTCTTTGTTTTGGAACTCTCCCTGATCTTCTCCACATCAGGATCTGGAGCTGCGCATCACGCAGGCAGGCAGTGCGTGAGCAGACCCTGCGGCTCCCCAGACAGGGCCTCCTCCTCCCCTCCACTGCATCTTCTTACCATTCAGGAGGCCTGGGCTACTGGGTCCTGGCCCTCGTCCTCCAGAGGTGGAGCTTTGTGCTCAGAGCCTTGCCATGTCTCCTCGTCTATTTGGGGACGAGAGTGGGCCGCTCTGAGCCCGGGGCTGCCTCCTCTCCCTGCTTTGCTTGCAGATTTCTCAAGGTTCAGGGTGCGCTCCCGATCCCTTTGCTTCCTCCCTCTCTCCCTCGCTCGGCTTCGCTCAGGATAGGTCCTGCCCAGGCCGAGGGTGGGACCCAGCTTCAAATCGGGCGGGGATGCTGCCCATAGGAGCCCCCCATCTCAAAGGGAGAGCAGACACGGTGCAAAGTGACTGGAAGAAAGTAGGGACAAATGGAACCAATGGGACAAGTGTTCTAAATGCAGTGCGTGGAAAATGCCGTGGGAGTCGGAGAAGGAGGAGAGTTATTCCAGCCAAAGAGGCTTGAGGAAAGCATCCAGGAGGAGACGGCATCTGAACCAGGCCTTAGAGGAGAAGGGTTTCCACTAGGGTGCGCGTGGGAGAACGGCGTGAGCACAGGCCTCGAGTGGAGTGAGCTGGGTGCCCCGGGTCAGTGTGTGTGGTGTGCTTGGGGCAGAGGGCAGGGTTTTGGAAGTAGGGTGGATCTGAGTTGAAGGTGGGAAAGTAGGCTGGGATCTGGATTGGGGCCTGCGTGGTTCGGATTGACATTACCTGGAGGCAGTGGGGAGCCAGGAGGGTTTATGAGCACAGAGCACTCTGGTTAGGGGTGGGAGAAATTAAAGCTTTGAAAAATCAGACACAAGGTCACTTTCCATTTCCAATGAACTTGTAGTGAGCTCTGCCTTGACTGTGAGAACAGCATGAGTCAGCCAGCTGATGAGGCCCCGAGAAAAGCAGAAGCGAGCTGCTCATGCCCCAGCCAGAGAGAACCTGTCGGGAAGGAGGAGTGGGGGGCCTGGGGCCCTGCAGTGGATCCACTGGTGCCTGTGGCCCGTGAGGACACTTGTTGGAACTGGAACCCCAGAGGGCACACCCAAGACCAGTGTGGGGAGACCTCAAAGGGCGCATTTCGCACTTTCTCATGGTCAGATCTGTGTGGCCATGGAGTGGCTGCCTCAGGAAGTAGTGAGCTCCCCGTCACTGGTGGGTTTCAAGCATCAGATAAAAATCAGCCTCCGTAACCTCCAAGCTCTTTGGGCCCTGAGATTTGAGGCTCACTAAGATCCTTCAAGTGGCCATGGGGAAAAAACTGGGCCTCTTGATTAGTCATTGCTGGAAAAGTTTCTCCCAGACAGAAACCACAGTATCTGATTTCAGTCTCTGCCCTGGGGCTTCCCCTGCCATTCCACACCACCTGGGGGTGGTCTGCGGGTGTGCTGGAGGGGGGCCTGGTGGGCCGTGAACAGAATGGGGAGAGATGAGTCAGTTAAACTTTGCAAATCTCTTCTTGGAATCTTCCCTGCGATTCCACTGCACAGCATTTTGACCCAGGCATGGGCACGGTTCTGGAGAGCCAAATGCATAAAGAGCATGTCTCTTTCAGGCCTGGGGGACTTTCTGATGAATAAAAGTACCTCGAGATCGCTTGTCATCTCAGTGACCCTGGGAAGCACCTCTGGTGCTGTTGGCAGAGCCAGGCCGTGGTACCTGTCCCAGTTCATTTGGTTCTACAGGCATTTATGTCACATCCATTCAGAGCTGGGCACTGGGCCGGGAGCTGCTGTCACAAAGATGAGGGAGACACAGCCCCATCCTCATGAAGTTCACACTGTAGTTGGAGGATGAGGGCCCTAAACAATTAGATGTATGATGCAGAGTGATAGGTGCAGTGGTAGAGATATGCCCACTTAGATGTTCTAGGATCACAGAGGAGGGGAAATCAGGGAAGGCTTCCTGGAGGAGGGAGGCCATCCAGAATCCTTGGCAGTTCGTCCCCCTAGTTAATGTTAACAGTAGTACTTTGTAGGTTATGGAGTACTTTTGCAAGTAACGTTCATAGTCCCTCCATTGAGCAAGCATTTTTTTTTTCTGAGTTTAATTCATCTTCATTAGGTTTAGTGGGGATGGAACGCTAAAACTTTGTTTTTTACTCTTTTTTTTTAATGAACTTTTTCTTTGGGGTAATTGTAGATTCACATGCAGTTGTACGAAATAATACAGAGGGATCCCATATACTCTTATCCAGTTTCCCCCAATGAATAACATCTTGCAAAACTGTAGTGCAGTAGCCCACTGGGCTGTTGACCTTGATGGACCCGAGATACAGAACAGTTCCCTCGCCACAAGGATTCCACCCCTTGCCCTTGCCAGCATTTTTAAAGTATTTATTTACATATCTGGCCCTGGGGACTCAAAAGATGAGAAGAAAAAGGCCTGTCCTCAGGGACTTGACCTTCTCATCACCCCCTTTGTGCCTTCTCATGACCTTGGGAGGTAGGTCACATGGCCCCAGGTTACAGACGAGAAAAGGAGCCGAGAACGTGAGTGCCTGGCCTAGAACATGAGCACGAGCTTGGCCATATCAGACTTGAACCCTGTCCTCCAGGCCCCGGGGGCAAGTGGGCTTCCTCAGCCACTTCCTCCGCTGACGGCTGCAGGCCTCTGGGTTCAGGGTCCTGGGTAGAATGGGCAGCACCTTTACACCCCCAGAGAGGGCAGCCTAAGCCTACCTCGGTCACGTCAGGGAGAAACCCATTCCACACAGCGAGGACCCCGCCCGGCTGGGGCACAGACCCTGGGGAGGCCTCAGGGCCGGAAGGGCCCTGCCTGGTCCATCTCCTTCGTTTGACAGATGGAGTCGTGGAGGCCGAAGGTGCGGGGTCTGGCCCAGGTCACACGGGGGTCCAAGGCAGAGCCAGGTCTCTAGGTTCCCTGCCAGTCGCTTTCATCCATTGTCATCAGGACAGAACTGTTCCTTCTCACATGCTCTGCAGGTGCGGTTTCTGTGGACCCAGCTTTCAAAATGTGGCACCCTCTTCCTCTGTGCTCGCAGATCCAGACTTCTCTCTCTGGCTGGAGTCGAGTTCTGTCTGTGGCCAGGGCGCTTCATGGAGGAGGACATCCCACTGTCCCTCCCTAAGTGTCTGAGCTTTACCCTCAGGGATGGTGCTGATGTCTTCTCACATTTAACTCTGCTTCTGGGGTAACGGGTGGCACTGAGCTTGGAGTTGGCGCTCGGGCTCCCCACTCTGCGCTTCGTCTCTGTCTGCCCCACCCCCGGATTCCCGAGAACATAATGGACACACAAAGGCTTCACAAACTGGAGAGTGCCAGGCAGACGGGAGGCTTTGTGTTTCTTGTCTGGACCTGTGGAGTCCCTAAGACGGAAGGAAGACAGCCTGCAAGAGAGCAAACTCCTGGCTGTGCTCGGCCTCTTGGGGCTGTCATGATTCCACAGGCGTTTGTATTTGTCGGGCAACTGATGGGGGTTGGCCAGTGGTGCCATGAGTCAAATACGTGCTGTTTGGGTTTTTTGACTTCAATTATGGAGAAATTCGCAAGTAGACGGAATAGTCTAAACCTCTAAGCACCCGTCCCCCAGATTCAGCTGTTATCGACTCACGGCTGGTCTTGTTCCATTGATGACCCTGCTTCCCCCGTATTCTGCTTTACTTTTTAACAGCTTTATCGAAGTATAATTTTTATACCATGAAGTTCACTCATTTGAAGTATATGAGTCAGAGTTGTGCCACCAGCTCCGCAGTCCAGGTTTAGGACAGTTCTGTCACTCCAGAAAGATCCCTCCTGAGGGTTTGTAGTTAATCCCTCGCCCACCCCGGCTCCAGCCACCCCCGCTCTGCTGTCTGTGGCTGTAGATTTGCCAGTTCTGGACATTCCACTGGTATCTGGCTTCTTTCATTAGCGTGCTTTGGAGTTTCAACCACGTTGTAACATGCATCATAGCTTGTTCCTTTTCACGGTTGGGTAGTATTCCGTTGCAGAGAGATACCACATTCTGTCCACGGCCCTTCTGTTAGAAGCCAACTCCAAACGTCGTGTCACTTCGTCTGTAAATATTTTAGAAGGACTCTTTAAAAGACGAGGCTTTAGAAAGCATAACGATGATAGCTTTTTCATACCTAAAAGTTAGCAAATCCTATAATGTCATCAATACTCATCGATGTTGGCATTTCCCATTGTGTCACTGCATGTCATAATTTGTTTTTCAGTTGTAGTTTTTAGTTTGTTGGAATCAGGGTCCACATTGCTATCGATTGCTGTGTCTCTAAGCCTCCCCACCCTATAGGATCCCCCCCCCATCTCTCTTTTCCTGCCTTCAAATTTATCTGTTGAAGAGGGAATCCATACTTTGTCATGTGGTCATTACAGAGGCAAACAGCGTCAGCAGTGGCAGGGGACTTAGAGATCAAGAACAAGTCCTCAGACAGACGGGGAAGCAGAGGCCAGCGAAGGGACAGACCTGCCCCCAGGCCCTCGTCCCACCGCGGCTGCCTCAGGCACCCACCCCTCTGCCTCCTCACTCTCAGGGCATAGGGCCAGGCCCGGGGACACGCCTCCCTGACTCAAGCTTGCGTCCTCCTCTGGGTAGGCGTGCAGGTGGGCAGGTGTCTGGTCCTTCAGGATGGGAGTGGATGGCCTGGCTCTGGCCAGCTCCTGAGGGCCACCTGAGGCCCGGTGGAGAGCCTGGAGGAGCCCAGCAGGTGCCCAAGGTGGCCATCTGAGGTAGCAGCCCTGCGGCCTCAGGCCCTGCATGGCCCTCCGTCCTGCTGCCCTGCTTCTCACGCTCTGTTTCTTTTCTCCTCCATGCTGTGGCAGTGGTGCCCCGTGCTGACGAGACAGTACTCGGTGCAGCCCCAGGCAGTCCTTTTCCAGGTAATTTCCTAGGGACCCAAATGACCCCTGGCACACACTTTCCTGGGGCACGCGCCTCCCGGGGGCCCTCCGAGGACTCCCTAACCCTTCGTGTTGCTTGGTCTCCCAGGTGCTCTCCCTCTCCTTAGTTTCCGATCCTCGCAGTCGCCCCGGCAGGCAGACAGGCCAGGCTCATACGTCGTTTTATAATGAGGAAAATGAGGCTCAGAGAGCTGGCCTGGCTCGCCTGAGGTCACACGGCTGAGAAAGAGGCAGAGCTGGGACAAGACCCCGGGTTAGCACTCCTGGGTCCCTGTTCTTTCTATCACGGGGTCAAAGGCTCTCAATGATGCAGATAAAACGAGCTAAGGAAGTCCACTCCCCGCCCTGTACCTCCGTCTTTCCTGGTTGGGAAGGATGAGCCTGAGTGTCCTTCTAGCTCAGACATTTGAGAGTGCAAGGCTTCCCATCGTCTGCAGCCTGGTGTCTGTGAGGAGGCTGTGCACATCTGGTCCAGACCCTGCGGCCCTCAGGCCCTGCGGCAGCAGGCAGAGAAGATTCATTCCGGGTGGTGCACTGGGGCGGGCGGGCGGGAACTGATGCTGGGCTTATTTCTGTTCCTGGGTCAGAGTCAAGGACGGCACCAAGGGCCCTGTGGGGAAGGGCGCAGAAGCCAAAATGACATCCTAAGAAAGAACTCCAAGAGCCCGGAGAAGTAGGAATGTGGAACACAGCCATTGCCGGTGACTGTCAATGGCTGGGGGGTGGGGCTGTGTTCCCAAGTGCGTAAGTGAGCAGCACACTTACACACATGGGGCGGTGCGCGTACTCAGGGTCTCTGCATCCCACTGTTTAGCCCTTGTCTTCCCAAGTAACTCTGAGAAGTGGAAGTAGATTGCCACTGTTACCAGGAAAAGAGGTACCAATAATGCCTTCTCTCTCCTCTTCTCTTTCTTTCTCCTGATCTTCCTTCCCATCTTTCTTTTTCTGCCATTCTTCCTACCTCTCCCAGCCTCCACTTTCACAAAGGACTTGAGGTGTCCTGCAAAATAAACAATTACATGTATCTAAGTTAGTTAATTTAAGGCTGTAAAAAGGTTCAGAAATTATGGAGAGGAAAGAGGAAGATCATTGCACCAGGTGCCGGCAATGATGTGGTTGTGGCGATTGAGTACTGAATTTGACTGAGCTTCCTGGCAGCCAAGGCAAAGAGGGATGTGTAGTGGTTTCCAATGTTCCTGTTGTTCAATTAGAGGTGATTAACCATTCATCAGGAGAAAAAACGTTTTCCTGGTAATGAATTATAGGAGGGATTGACATGGGATTTGAATATTCTAATAAGCATGTCTCCAGAGGTTAAAAAAAAGTTCTTTGTATGGCTGTTTTTTTTAATTGCCTCTCACCAATGTTGAATGCCTGATATTCCATCACAGACCAGTGAAGGCACTTCCCTGGGGCTTTAACTAGTGGTAGACAAGGACGCTATTTTCTGGTCACCTGATCTGATGAGGGGTAGAGGTGGGAGGTTAGTGTACACTTGGGGCTCTTGTTCAGACACTCCCCAGTTAATTTTGATTGTTGAGGCTAATGTCGTGCTGCCAGACCATACGTTCACTCACTCAACAAGCACTCAGAGGCTCTAGGGGTGTTCCTTGTTCCGTGCCCTCAAGCCAGCCTAGAGGGAGAGAGACAAAGAGCTGTTATACGCGGTCGGAAGTATGATAGTGGAGGTCTGTGCAGAATGCCACCGAGTATGGAAGCACGGACCCAGGAGTCGTGATTTCTGTGTAGGAGTGTGGGGCCCAGGAACGGCTTCAGCGAGGAGGTGACATCTGAGCTGGGTCTTGTGGACAGTGTAGGAGCTCTGTAAGTGGCTGAGTGAGATGGGCCCTGCAGGCAGAGGCAGGACAGTGCCTGGGGTGGCTGAGGAGCAGCGGGTGTAGGGAGGCTGCAGGGAGCCCGGGAGACTGGGGAGAAAGCAGCTGTCTTTACAAATCACAGGCAGCTCAGAGGGACCGACGGTGACGAGGACTTAGGGAGCCATTACACCCCCAAACTAGAAGACAGCGTCGCCCGGCTCGTGCAGGAGAGTGAGAGCTGTTGACTCCACTGAGGAAGGGACACTGGGCTTGGGGCCAGCCCTGAGAGGTGGGGACTGTGCGAGGCACGGATGGCAAGGGCAGCGAGGGCTGGCTTCCGAGTCCCGCTGGTCCCGGGCCCCAGCTCTTTCGGGAAGTTTGCCGTCCCTCCTGGTGGCCGGTGGTGGTGGGTGACTGGATTGTTGGACCTCCCACCCCATGCGTAACACGAGTTGAAGATTTCGTGTCTTGAAAAGATGATCCAAACTCAACTGTTGAAGTGACTGAACAAACTTTGATACTGAATTTATTGACTAGAACGAGAATCAAATAGCAGACAGGCCCTTCCATTTGGACATCAAAGAAGTTAAGAGGCAGGAGTCCCTGTTGGTCACCCTCTTGCAATTTTCTCAAGCCTGGGGTGGCTCTGCTTTCTTGGGGGAGATAGAGGCTTTCCCCTGCAGACACAGCTGCCCGGCCTGGAGTCTGGGAAGGGTGCAGGCCCAGCAGTGGGGTGGGGAGGGCGCAGGGGTGCCGACTCTCAGCTGAGATGCTGCCTGGTCTCTGGGATAGGGGTCACTCATGCATTTGTTCATCCACGTGCTCACTGTGCAGACCCTTCACAGTCGAATCCCAGCCCGTCTACCTCTCCGTCCTTACCTCTTCTCCTTTCACTTCCTCCCACTGGTGGCATGTGCCTTGTTTCAGGACCACTCCTGTCCTCTTACCGCCGAGCCTTCCCTCAGCTCTTCTCAGCCGCGGGGGCAGGGCTCGCTCAGGCCCAGGTTAAACATAGCCTGCCCCCAGAAACCTTTCCCGACCATTTCCCACCCTTGTCCCTCTGGGTGGAGCTTCTGGGGCCACATGTCTCTTCCCTTGGGGTTTGTGGATGACGGTCAGAGAGCATGCGTGGTCTTCACATGCCATCCGCACACAAGAGAGGCTCGGTCAGGCTGCTCGTCCGCTGTGCTCAGGCCTCCCAGGGCACTCGGGACACAGAGAGACGGGGGCACCGTCCCACCCCCGGGGCCTTGGAATCTCCAGGAGACACCGTCCAGGAAGAGACCGTATCAGAGGCGCTCTCACTCCCATCTTTGCACACGGCCGTGCACTGACAGAGCTGCTTCCCACGAGCTTTACTCCCTAATTCGCTCTTGGCTACTTAGGAGGCTAATGCCTCCACCAAGATCCAGTCTACGGAGGATGGAGTCTGGGCAGCGGCCTTCTCCCAGCAGCTCCCTGCTGCGTGAAGACTGCTGGTCACAACCTGTAGCAAGACATGTATTTTCTTCCCCACCTAGTGCACACATATCCACTCATGTGTGACACAGAGATTCACACAACAGGTCTTGCTCTTTCTATGTGTGAGGCCCTTCAATATTTTCTGTTCTAGTCCGTTCCTGTTTCATTTTGTAAAATGTTGGTACTGGCAAATTGATCTCTTACCTGTTAAAGGGTCAGGACACACTGTGGTATGAAAATCACTAGGGCAAATGGCAAGACTTGAGAGTCAGATGGATGCAGGTTTGAATCCTGGCTCTTGTACCTAGAAGCTGTGTGACCTTAGGCCAGCCACTTCCCCTCCATGATAGAAGTCTCAGAGTCTTCATCTGTAAAATGGGGATAATGCAGAATCTACTTCATGGGGTGGTTGTGAGGATTAAATGGGATAATACAGGTACAGCTCCTGGCACAGAGTAAGTGATGGATAAATGTGAGCTTTTGACATGGTCGTGAAGATTACAGTTCTTATTGCTCTGACCCCACTTGTCAGGGCCAGCAGGGCAAAGGAGGGACTCCTGCCTCCTGGGGAATGGTAGTCAGGGAGGACTTCCTGGAGAAGGAGGCATTGGAGCAGGGAGACCCACTACTGTCCTCACAGTGACCGAGAACCTTGTGTGAGCATCCCAGGGCCTCTCGTTCCCTTTTCCGTGAAGGGCACACTTGTTCCCGAGGATTTTTGGCCAGACCTAGAGCTGACCACATTAGATGCTTTTGCCTTTCACATCTCGGTCTCTAATCCACTGGGAATTGATTTTTGTGTCTGGTGTAAAGTAAAGATCCAATTTCTTTCCCCCTTGTTTCTGAATGGATAACTGGTTCCCTCTGCTCTGTTTATTAGAGTCCATCCTCCCCGCTGATTTGTGCATCACCTCGCTCATATGTCAAGGTTCCATGAATGCCCGGATCAGCTTCTGGACTTGGTCTATTCATCTGTCCCTGTGCCAGGCCCACACTGGCTTAGTCACTGTGACTCCTGATGTTGGGGAGGCGTCCCCGTCTTGTCCTTCTCCCTCAGAAGCACGTGGGCTGCTTCGGGCCTGTGCTCCTCTCTGCGTGTCTCAGCGTCAGCCTCTGCTGGAGACGATTGCAGAGCCCCGGGAGCTCCCGACAAGCTGTCCTCAGTGAGGATCCGTCTCAGGGGCCTGGGCCTGCCGTGCCGCCCGGACTCACTGTTGCTGTCCACCCCACTGGCATCTGAGCTGCCCAGGAAGTTCTGTCTAATTCACATGCAGAGAAAAGCATCAGGGATGTGCCTGAGCCTGGGTCCCTGCCACCTGCCACTTGCCCAGTGGCTCCTCCAGTGTCCCTCCCAGTGGCTTGGTCCTCGTCACCCTACCCAGGGGTTCTGCAACTCCTTTGAGTCTTCTGCCCTGTCTGCCAAGGATGTACCCCTGGACAGATAGTGACGTGTCCTCTACTGGCAAAGCCAGGGGCTGGAGGGAACTCCCCACACCAGCGCTTGGCATGACAGCCAGATTCTTTGGCTTAGGGGTTTGTATATATTTTCTTTACCCGAAAATAGGCCTGGAGGTTGGGTGGGAGGTAGAGGCCTGTCCGTCAGGGTTATATTTTAGTTGTTCTTGAATGGGAAGACCCAGGCGGGCATCTTGGCAGCCTTCTCTGGAGACCATGCTGACAGTGGCTGTGACGCCAAGGGATTGACTCATCACCAGCTCTGATGTCATGAAATGGCTAAAGAAAGGAGCGTGACTCAGGGCCCGAGGCACAGGTTGACGTGGACTTGGTAAATCAGATGTGTGCACCCACAGTTTTCAGCATACGGGTGTTCACATGCTTCCAGAATTCAAAACTCTTCCACACTGTGGCTCCTTTGGTTTGGTGTCTTGGATTTTGGGTGAGAGTTGATGGTGAACCGTCCCCTGTTGGCCATGGGCAAAGACCTCCTTCCCTTGGGCCTCAGCTGACTCACCTGTGAAGTGAGGGTTTGGACAGGATGATGACCCAAATTCCCTCTAACCCTTGTTTCTGCGATTCTACGTCTGTGGTTTAAGAACACAGAAATCAGAAACCTATCTTTCCATGCTCTAGGCTGCCAGACTTATTTCCGCCTTGCTTTTGGTTACTGATGTCCCCTCCTGCGCCGAGAGGATGGTTGTGTCTGCTGGCTGGGACTGGCGAGAGGAACCTGCAGGCCACTAAGAGAGCAAGGTTGAATTCTTGTGAAGCTGCACTGAATCCTGTCCACCTCTTCACCTGGGGAGACTTGTCGATTCTGGATACCTGCCTTGTTCTGTCACACTGAGTCTGCCCCCCCCACCCCAGGGGATTCACGAGCCCCCTGTGGGCCTTGGAGCTGGCATGGGCTGGCCCAGCTGGGGGGCTGAGCCCAGAATGTGCAGTGGCCTTTGGCTGGGGTGCATTGCAGTCTCGATGCTGAGACGTCTCCGTTTTGTTTCCTCTTTCAGACCACTGAGTATTCAGCCATGGCCTCGCTGGCTGGAGGGCTGGACGACATGAAGGCCAACCTGACCAGCCCCACCCCCGCCGACATCGGGAGCAGTGTGCCAGGGCCGCAGTCCTACCCCATTGTGACAGGTGAGGTCATTGCACCTGGGGCGCGGGGGATGAGTGGCGGAGAGAGAAAAAGAGAGAGGGAGAGAGAGAGAATGCGTGCCTGGTGGGAAGAATGGCTTCTTGCTACTTTGGGACCTGACCGGCCCTTCTTGTTTAATGAGGTTGTGAGGTCCTGGGACAGGTCAGGCAGGAGACCGCTGGGGCCAGGACTTGTGGCTGTGGTGAGACATGGCTGTTTATTGCTCTGATAAAGCCGGAGGAGAACAAATGCCAAATGGATTGTGGCTGGGAGGGGTGGCAGGAGGCCTCACGTCAGGGGGCCAGGGTGATGTCGGCGCCCCCGGTGAGTGGTGCTGAGTGTTCAGAGGTCTGAGATTCATCTCTCTCGTGAGAAAGGCAGCCCTGGTTGGCGCTGGCCTCGAGGACGAGTGGGACTCCTGGCAGATTGTTGCTGGCGTCTCAGATTTCCAGGCAGAGGCTGAGTCAAGAAGGGCAGGAGGTCCAGGCTGGAAGGTGCTTGGTGTATGCAAAGCCACTGCCTTTCAGGAAGGCCCAGGGCCAGCCTTTTAGCTCAGTGTAAAGATGAAGGTTTGGGCCTTGGAGGCACACTGCTGGGTTTGACCTTGCCATTGACTAGCTATGAGATCTTGGGTAGATTATATGGGAATTCTGGGCTGTGGTTTTTCCATCTGTGAAATGGGGATCGAGGCAGAACCTGCCCCACAGGGGAGTTGTGAGGACTGGTGTGTCAGTACATGTAAGGCGCTTGGGCTCTTGTCTGGCGCACAGCAGGTCCCAATACACGTCACCATTATTGTTCCTCTTGGAGCCGTCTCATGGTGGCTGGTCGCCATTGGGCTTGATGCTGCAGAAGGGGCTGGACTGGGAGGGCCGGGACAGGCCGACACCCCTCCCTGCTCCAGCAGCACTGAGGTAATAGAGGGACAGACTCTGGGAGGTTGTCCAACCTGGCAGGCAGGAGGCAGTCTCAGACACGTACAGACAGACAGTGGGGGGTTGGGAGCGGCCCTTGGCCACAGCCTTGGGGTCCAGCCTGAGGGAGCAGGATGTCCCTGCAGGCTGGGAGGCAGGACACAGTAAGCAGTGACAGAGACAAGGCGTCTTAGAAATGCAGGTAGGCTGTGGCCGCATCCAGGAAGCTGGGAGCTGGACTCAGGTTAGAATTTTAGGGGAGGGGCTGCAGGAGACAAGGTCTTAGCCCAGCGTCACGTAGGCCCCAAGGCAGGGAGGGCCAACTCTGAGACCTGGGCTGACAGGTGGGCACTGGGGCTCATGGGGCTCAGGCAGAAGCAGCCAAGGCCACTTTGCAGATCTGGGCACCACTTGGGGGTGAGTCAAGTGGCAAGAGTGACTTGGTCCCCTGTCTACCTGAGATGGGGGACGAGCCCAGAGGGCAGCTGAGCCGGCGGTGGGGAGGCGTCAGCAATGGGGCAGGGATGGGAGGCAGGGAACCTCAGTCAGAGCGAGCCTTTACATAGGAGTCCTGTGTGGTCCTCTTCCCTGGGGTTATAAGGGTCCATGACAAGACCTCTCAGGGCACCCTCATGTTATAGATGCAGAAACCTTGTCTCAGGGAGGAGAGGGACTTGCCCCGTACAAGGGGTAGGGGGAGAGTTGGAGCCGGCCCTCAGACCCTGGATCCTGGTCCTTATTCTTTTCGAGGAATTACAAATAGTTAGGGGTGGGGGAGGGGGTGGGGGGCGGAGTGGCAAGAAGCCTGGACTAGCTAATAATAATAGTACCTGTCGCTCTGTCCAGTAGTCATTGAGTACCAGGCACTCTGCTAGCAGAGGAACTCTGGGAGGTGGGTGCTATTATTGTCACATCCATTTCACAAACAAACTGAGGCTTGGAGCAATTAACTAGCTTGCCTGCGGTCACGGCTGGAGAGCAGTGGAGTTAACACTGACACCAGGGCCTGTACAGTCGGCTACTCTGCCACAGGGTCATCTGGGGCTGATCCCTGCGCTGCTGTCACTTCCTCGCTCTCTGACTTTGCACGCGTCTCTGAGCCTTGGTTTCTCCATCTGTAAAATGGTCCTGGTCTCTCAGGGCCCTTGTGAGGATCAGATGAGATCCTGAGGGGACTGCTCTGCAGGGGGAGGGTCTGCTCTCGGGACCTGCGCTCAGGGGAAGCTCGGGTTTAGGCAAATCACAAGAAGACATTGTATTCTAGCATTTGTGCACCAGCAGATTTAGATGGAAAAGAAGCCAGTCAACGTTGAGGCTGTGGTCGCACCTCTGGGGCTCTTGTCTGCTGGAGTGGTAAACTGTGGTCTGCTGGCCAGGATTATGCTTAATTTTGAAATATTAAAAGTATTCTATTATGAATATATAAATATTGTAAATATATAATATTTATATAATTTGCATAATATTTATGTAATATAATATTAGAGTACTATAAATATAATCATTAGCTCTGTTGTAAGTAAATGATAGCTAGCTAGAAAACATAATAGGAGAAAACATTAACAATAGCGCCAAAAAAAGAAAAGATAGAATGCTGAGGAATTGACTTAACTATAAAACTCCGGTAAGGGACGTAGAAGAATAAATGGAGATATACGGCTTGTTCTTGGATAGAAAGACTCAATATCATAAAGATGTCAATTCCCCCTAAGTAGTCTATTAATTCAAACCAAGTCCAATCAAAATATCAACAGATTTTTTTTTTTGGAATTTGTCAAAATGGTAGTAAATGCTGGATAAATGAACACTCAAAGATAGAAAAATTCTGAAATAGACAAATGAGTAAAACATATTTAAAAACATGATGATAGAGCTACAACAATTAAAACTATTTGTTACTGATACTGAAGTAAACAGGCAAATGATTTCTCTTTTCTCTGTTGTTTTGAAACAGAGAATGCAAATATAAATATTTGCATTTATAAATACCCACATATTTTTGGATCTATTTCTGGACTCTCTATGCTGTTCCTTCAAATACTGTAAAAAATAAAATCATAATAAAACTAGGAAAAAAACCAGAAATTTTTTATAATCTTAGAGTGGGGAAGACCTTTTAAAATCTGTTCCAAACACAAAAGACAAAAAAAAAATATATAAATGACTATTAAAAATGTAAATCTTTTGTATGTATGTAGAAATATCCAAAAGACAAAGGACAAAGTTAGAAAAAAAAAGTGGAACACAAATGACAAAAAGTCAATTTCCTTAATATATAAAGAGCTTTTAGAAATGAATAAGAAAAAAAATCAGTAGAAAAACAGGCAAAGGGTATGAATAGATAATTCACTGGAAAAAATGCAGATGTCCAGCAGCATGTAAAAAGATATGCACTTGACTCATAATGTTAAAGCTGCAAATTAAAACAATCATGAGACATTTAAAAAAACCCCACTAGCTTATCAAAGATTGAACTGTTTCTTGAGGTCCAGTGTTGGAGAGGGTATGAGAAACAGATATTTTCATATATTATCATAGGTGTATAAATCACTGCAGTCTTTTTTGGAGGGAAATTTGTCAATATCTATTAAAATTTTAAATGCACATCCCTACCCACTAACCCAGAACTTTTTCATGCCTTTTAGGACTTTATCTCACAGATACATTCACATAGATGCACAGTGATACCTATATCTGTGTCATAATTAGAGAATTATTTATAATGGTAAACAAATGGAAATAACACAGTGTTTATCCATGGGAGCTGGTTAAATAAATTATGGCTCTTTCACACAATAAAATATTATGCAACCGTTAAAAAGAATTCCGTAGAGCTATCTGTGCTGACATGAATAAATGTTCAAGATGTACTCTTAAGGAAATAAGGAAAATAATGTGTTAAGTATGATCCCATTAGTGTGAAAAAACATAAAGGACACAGACACAGAGGCACAGACACACCCAGGCAGGTCAGAGGCTTGTATGTGGGGATTGGAGATCCCCGGCCCCTTGCCCTGCTTTCTGGGGCCTTGTGGGATATGCTAGAACTGGGAGTTTCTGCCCACTCCCACCCGCATCCCCTGGGGATAGCAAATATTTACAGTGCCCCTTACACTCCTGAAATTAAGTTCCTAAAGAATATAGCCTATCTTCACATCTAATTTCAAATAAAATCAGAATAATGCCCTCGCTATGAGATAAAGGAGAAACGAAAGTGAAATTGTTTATAAGTAAATACTATGTACTTTGTTGAGTAAATACTCTGGTGTCTATAGCTCGAGACATAATGAAGTAGTCCGGGGCCTGCGCCACGCACAGAGTCAGCGAGAGTGCAGCAGCCCTGAGCACAGGCTCGTACGGGAGTGTGGACGTGGGATGCAGACTGTGTGGCGAGGAGCTCTTGGCAAAGTCCCAAGTAAAACAAACTAGGAGCTTTACACAGTAGTTGCATTCCTAGGAAATTCAGTGTCTATTATTAAGACCATGGAAATTGCCAGTTCACATTTATATGTAAATGAAGTTCAGTTCTAGATCCAAATAATTATAAACAGATTTTTCACCTACACGAATGTTTGGCAGGACATGACAATATGCAGGATGAAGGAAAATTCTTCATTGTGTGGGGCTGTTCCACTGCAAGCCAATCATGCCCCTCAATCATACAAAAGCCCCCACAGATTTTCAAAACACCCTCTAGGGGGCAGTTGCCAACCCCACTGAGAACTGTTAGAACACCTTGAAGGAATGCCCCCTGGAGTGTTAGGGTGGGCCTCCACATCCTCACGAGGTATTAACTTATTTCCACCTGTGCTAGTGCACCTGCTGACAGTTCTGAACTCTTCAGGGGCGAGCTCGAGTCTTCCAGCCCCACCCCCTCCAGCTCCCTCCCCACACAGCCCAGAGGAGTAGGTGCTCAGACGCACTGTGAGTCCAGCCCAGGGCTCCAGCGAGGCTGTGCTGGCCCGGGGTCTGGGGAGGGGCAGGTGGGCTCTGTACTGCTCCATCCCGGCCCTCACACTCCAGGCTGCCCAGCAAAGATCTCATTAGAGAACAAGTCGATTTCTTGCCATCGTTTATACGCCATGTTG